GGCCAAGGGCGGCCTTCCGAAATGCCCTTAAGCGGTGTGCCTTGGGATGAGCCATTTTGAATCTGTGATGAATTATGACTTTACGGCCTTTACAATATACACGTACATTCAAGAAATATTGAAACCTGCTGATGTACAGGAAGACCAATGGATAGAGAAGACTGGCGTTCAAGTGGGCAAGATAATGTTCATGGTGTCCTCAGGGGCCACTTTGAGAGGGAAATTCTAGGAAGTCGTGACAAGGGCGAGTCACCAAAGCCAAAACTTTACTTGCTATTATCACCGTGTATATATATATATATATATATATATATATATATATATATATATATATATATATATATATATATATATATATATATATATATATATATATATATACTATTAAACCGTTCAACTCATAATCACCATCAAATTATCACCTGAATAACACCCATCTTCCTTTCATCACTCATTCACCAATTATTCATTCCCTCTCATGCCTCTCATGAGAGAGAGAGTGAAAAAGAGAGAGAGAAAGAGAGAGGTGGGAGAAAAAAAACGGATATACACACTCAAAAGCATTATAGGAAAAGAGCTAAACTTGTCATTTATAAGTAAAGAGGTAAATGAAACCCAAGAACATTAGGGAAGCTGGATAGGGCACATCATCCTTGACTACCAGCTCTTTCAATAGATCATTTTTTTCCAGATGATGCATAAATCTTTTAACAAATCATTTTTTTTTTAATAAATGCATAAACCTTTCAATAAATCAATCGATTTGTAAATAAATTCGTAAATCTTACTATGGACTAATAGACTCTAAATAAATCAACATATTTTTGGTCAACAGACCCATAAATTTATCAGCATATCCATAAAACTACCAATAAGTCCAGAATTAATTAAATAAATCCATAATTCCTTCAAAGTAATCTATAATCCTTTGAGGAATCAACATATCTCTCAATAAACTTCAACAAATCATGAACTCACACCACTCTTGAGTCACGGCCATGAACCCCTCCAGTCTTTTGGCGCACCTCCGGCAATCCAGCAAAGGGTAATCCAGAATCGTGGATTTCCTCTGGTCCTTTGTCGAACCTCCGATAAATCCGGCATCGTGGCATCCGTCTGGCCCTTTGTCGCGCCTCCGATAAATCCGGCATCGTGGCATCCGTCTGGTCCTTTGTCGCGCCTCCGATAAATCCGGCATCGTGGCATCCGTCTGGCCCTTTGTCGCGCCTCCGATAAATCCGGCATCGTGGCATCCGTCTGGTCCTTTGTCGCGCCTCCGATAAATCCGGCATCGTGGCATCCGTCTGGCCCTTTGTCGCGCCTCCGATAAACTCGGCAACGGGCGAATCCGATGGCCATTTGCTGGCGGAGTCCCAGCTGTCAACCAGTCTGTCTAAGGACTTAAGGAGATGAAAGGTTCGGTTTTATTAGGCGTTACTGTTGGAATCCATTGCCCGCGTGTTGTCTAGATGATTGGATCCTCTTATAGGTACGATAAACTTTTTTTTCTTCATCGTAGGATTGGAATAATTAGGTGATGTTTTGGAATGTTGTGTAGATGATTGGATTCTCTTATGGATAAGATAAACTATTTTTCATCGTAGGATTGGAATGATTAGAGTTTTAGAATCCAATGTCAGTGTGTTGCATAGATGATTCGATTCTCTAATAGCTATGGGAACTTGTTTCGTTTTTATCATTGCACTGTGCTGTGTTACATCTATGGTTTATGAACTCTCTTTATGAACTTTCTTATACCGCTGAAATCACTTTGTTTTGCGTTTTACATATAGCGCTATAATAAGCTCTGACAAGGAAAAAATGGAATAATATTTATGCGTGACGTCACCAGGTCAATTTTTACAATAATTATAATACTTCATTTTTTTTCTTTTTTGAAAGATCTGATACCTCTTGGCACAAAGGCGCACAAACACGAGCGCTCTCATATGAATACAAAAAAAAAAAATCAATCACAGAATAGGATATGGCAGCAAAGTATCGTCCTTTAAACTTGTAGACGCATTCTGAACTTACCTGTTACCTTTATAATAAAAAACAGCGGTTTCACTTGTCTGACTTTCGGAGGAGACTCAGGTCCGGGAAGGTCGCCATTTTAGGTCGCAGCTAGAGCGTTCTTTGCACATATCTAAACATTATTCGCTGGCAGTGATGCTCTATGGTTTATGGCCATCTTGAAAAATCTGTTACGTATTTTGATGTATTTATAACAATAATAATGTAAAAAAAAAAAAAAAAAGCCAGTCTAGGCGCGTTTAAGATGAACATGGGACAAAAAAAAAAAAAAAAAAAAATACAATCCAGAAAAAAAAGTTGAACTATAAACGCGCCAGCAAGCCCAGACCGGAGGAAGAGAAGCGAATGGACCCGAAATGAGAAGCTCATCCCTCTTTAATTACCCTCGGGATCCAGGACTAGGTCTGGCTAGTGGCGTGCCTGCCTGGACTTAACCCTACGAAAGCTGGTGTCTCAAATGTAC